TTATAAATGGGCTACAATGACTTGGTGGGTTGGTGTGAAACACATACAGCAATTAGGTATGAACTTCTGAGTTGAAACAAATATCTATCTGGTCCTCTCACTTCTACACAACTCCTGGATCTCACCTGGTCATTATCTGAATATAATCTGTTTTCCTCCAATGGAAGTTCCATAAGGACAGACCCTAGACATGGGCATAAAACCACTGTCTGCATTGGAGAGTCATCTTTAGCTCTGGCTGGGATAGGATGACCCCTGGAGACAGAACAGCCTCCACTAGCCATTAATATTAATGTTTCTGACATAAAGCTTAAGACAATGGTTCTCAGTTCCAGTCTAGCAGAGTCAGCATCACCTGGATGCTTGTCAGAAATGCAAATTCTTGGGTCCTACCTGGAACCTACTAAATCAGAAACTCTGGGGGTGGGGGCTCAACTACGTGATTTAACAAGCCCTCCAGGTGATTTTGATGCACAATAAAGTTGGGGAATGATTGTTGCAAGTTGTAGAGGTCCAAGACCACCATCACTTGAAAAATAAATTAGCATGCTTGGAAGGCTTGGATGGCTCCTATTTTCACCCATTAGGATCAAGTTCTTGGGAAAACTGGCTCAAGAGAGGTCACAGATAACAAGATGACCCCTACTATAGGTTGAAGGTGCCACCTTCAAGGCTTGAGTGGGTCAGAGGAAAACAAACTCTTCAGCTGAGGTATGTAGTCTCAAGTTTGGACCAGATAAACATTTTCTTTCCTTAAAGAAGTAAGCTTTGGGGGATATCAGAACAGAGAAGACAATAATTATGTAAGACAATCTGGGAGTCTTCCATTTCAGATCAGCTAACACCTCATCAAGCATAATGTGAAAGGGTTAGCTGGTTAGTAAGTCCATAATCCAACGACTATACCTTTAGTCTCTTAAATACATTTCCCTGGGTTGACTGAGAGGCAGTTTGATAGGGGACCACCCAGACTAGGATGGTCAAAGGGGATGCATAAGATTATCTCTATTAGTCAGTGGAAGATGAAAAGAGTGTTCCAGAGGTCTACTGGCATCCTTGCATATTTGATTGAAAGAAGAGCATCTGTAAGACTATTTTCTTACTCAATGATCTTCCCCATTCAGTTGACAGTTGAAGTGCCCTGAGAGTTTCAGCTTTATGAAAACTCGAATTCTCTGGAGCTTGTCCTAGAAGGCTGGGACCAGGAGATCAATGTTGAATGGCAACTAGGTTGAGATTAAGACAATCTTTACAGAGGCAGAACTCCCACTGATTTTCCTTCAACAAGAGTACAGGCTCTCGGGTCACTTATAAACATGGCATCTATATATGGAAAAGCTTGTCTCTAATGCAGAAAACAAGTACACCTACTTGGAAGAAACTTGGGCTGTGGGGAGCAATCACCTCCATGTATCAGTTGCATTCAGTGTTGAAGAAATGTTGCATCCTGGTCTGCATAAACCAGGACGTGAGTGGTTTTGACAGTCCTACTGTCAAAGGAAGAGAACGGTGCTGGGAACTGGGCAATTCTGGTGACAGATCATCTAAATGAAGGAAGGAATATGGTAGTAAGGTCTTACACCTCCAGGGATAAGTGGTAACACAGGGAGCAGATGGGGGTTACACTACTGTCCTGGTACACTCCCTCATTTGCAGCCTGGTAAATAGTCATCTCAGGAATCCCGGGTTGCCAAGGCCAGTTGTCCATCAGTGGCCAGGAGAGGTGTGTGCAGAGGAGAGCTTCTGGGTCTAGTGGGCGGCTGGATCTGCTGGGTCAGAGCCTGGCCCACAAAGCTACTATTGCCCCTGAGCCTTTGTGCTGGAGGTCGTTGTCTCACGCTCTCAGCTCTCCAGGAATTCTAACCACCTTTCCTTGCAAAGGTTAGGGGCCTACATGACTCACTCCTTTGCTGTGTCCCAGTGCAGGACCGAATGGCTTCCTTCTGTTGGGAACTGATCCTCCATAGGCCAGAAACACACACACACACACACACACACTCGGGGCCTACCTTGTCTTGTCACAGTACAGGCAGGGCTGGTCTATTCTAAGCTGCTCTTAGTGGGAGTCAGAGAAGATAGTTAACAGCAACTGCTTCCCCGCCAAGTGTGAGATTAGAAACAAAATGTGCTCCATTTCCCATTAGGATTAGAGCTCAGCTTGTCCACACACAGCCTCATGTGGAGTCCCTATGAATTCTTCAGGCTGACAGCAGCAGGGGGACATCAGGCCAGGGTTTTGGGGTGCTGTGGCATTGGTATCTCTTGGCTCACCTCTGCCAACCATGCTGTTTGATGGCATGACTTCCTTGCTTAGGCCCTAGGTGGAGAGGAGCCAGGTGGTGGCATTTCCCATTTCACCAGAGTGCACAACCGCTCCTGCCGCCTCCAAGTCATCCTCAACCCAGGAGCCAGATCCTGTCACTCTTCAGTGAGTTCCCACAGCTGGGGAGTGGGAAGACCTAGAAGGCCCAGCATGATTTGGCTCTTATACTATCTTTACAGTTCAATCTCCAGCTACTCTTCTCTCTCACCCGAGTTGTGCTGGCCTTCTCTGCTCCTCCAATGAGCCAAACCCCTTCTCAATTCAGATCCTACAGTCCCTTTTTCCAAAAAGCTCTTCTTTCCCCTTTTCCTGGCTAAGGCATACGCATCTTTCAGGTCTTCCTTGGAAAGTGTTTTTCCAACTTCTCGGGCCAGAGTAGGTACACTGTTATTAAACTCTGATTATGTGGTATTATTTTCACTGTACTAGCATCATTCTAATGATCTGTGTGTGATGATGTGATTGCTGTCTTACTCCCAGAGAACAATAAACTTGATGAGAGTAGGCAATGTACCTGTTTTGTTTGCTAGTCTATTCCCACTGCCAACTACAGTGCCTGACATAGTATGTGTTCAATCAATTTTCTGGGAAGGAATAAAAAGGAGGGAGGTAGGGAGGAAGGAAGAAAAGGAGGAAGGAAAAAAGGAAGGAAAGACGATAGAAAGCAGGCAGGGAGAGAGTCAGAAAAGAAGGAACAGAGGTCCCATTGGGGCTAATTGGGAAGACATTTGATTCTCCATCTCTAGGGAGAAAGCTGGAAGGGTTCACTGTAGCTCTCACCTGAGGCCTCAGTGTTTAAAGGCACAAGTTAACATCAGAATTTTGTTTGTGGGATAATGCTGAGTTCAAACCACAGAAGCGGCTCCAAATGGATCATCAGAGCTAAGGGGGTCTGCGGTGACCTGAGTTTTAGGTATAGAGCAAAATGAGAAAGGGAAAAGCAGGGAAGATAAAGGCAAATAAGAAATAATCTATACAAAGTCAAGGAAATGGAGGACAGGGCCACCAACTGGACTTACTTCTTGTACCTAGCAGCTATTTATGAATGGGCAAAGCAGGTCTGATAAAAGGGACACAGACCACGCACAGTTGTCATATACAGACATATGTTGCTCCAACATCTTAATAAGTTCGTATCCTTGTGTATAAACCATTTTCCTGTGAGTATGGTTAACTCTAGGTTCACTAAAATGAGACTGAATTAAGTTATAGTTTGTGCATTTCAAAGCTTAGGACTTAGCCATGGTGCCTGCCTGCATAGTGTCCTGCCAGAAGGAAACTCTGCCTAAGCAGTCCACTGCTCCCTCCCTTCCCTACATCTCTATGGCATCCTCTTTGGAAATTCAACATTTTGAACCAAAGTTATCAAGCTCTTCGCTTACACGCTGTCTCATGGTATCTCCCTTCTTGATCACAGGCTCCTGGGAGAAAGGGAAAGTGTCTAGCTCATTCTCTCATCTATTGAGCCCAGTGCAATGACTTTGAATAGTAATGGTTCAAAAAAATTATTGAGGGGCACCTGGGTGGCTCAGTCAGTTAAGCGTCTGCCTTTGGCTCTAGTCATGATCCCAGGACTCCACTTGGGGCTCCCTGCTCAGGGGGAGTCTGCTTCTCCCTCTCCCTCTGTCCTCCCTCTTGCTTGTGCTCTCTCTCTCAAATAAATAAAAATAAAATCTTTAAAAAAAGAAAAAATTGAGTAAGTACTGCTATATATTTCACAGGTGCTGAGACTGATTACTCCAATGAACTTGTTAACATCTTGAGGAAGACCACTTTAAACTTGAAGTTCTTCCTCAAACATAAGTTGGACTCAATAAATCATTTTCTGTAAACTATTAGAAGAATGACAAGGTTATGTCTTTATACATAATTTTTACAACGTCTCTATTATTTCCAGTATATTATTGGGCACATGGTGGGAACTCAATAAATGTTTGCAGTGAACTGACTCCAATATAGATGTATTTCAGTTGAGAGGAAACAGAGATGCTTCTGACATTTCATATAAATTGTTTATGAGTTAAATGCTACTTAAATACATATAAATTTGTTATTAAATGGATCCCTAAGATGAATATTTTTTACAATATTTAGAATCACTTTGTAATATAAAGCTCCTTTATGTAACCCATTTTTTGAGTTTCATATTTTTACATATCCAGGTTGTTGATAATAGGATAAACTAGGGTGCCTGGGTGGCTCAGTTGGTTAAGTGACTGCCTTCGGCTCAGGTCATGATCCTGGAGTCCCAGGATCGAGTCCCGCATCGGGCTCCCTGCTCAGCGGGGAGTCTGCTTCTCCCTCTGACCCTACCCCCTCTTGTGCTCTTTCTCTCTCTCACTCTCTCTCTCTCAAATAAATAAAATTTAAAAAAAACTCAGCATTTAAAAAAATAGGATAAACTAGATTAGTGCCTTATAGGCATGAGGAAGCCAACTGAATCACTATTGATTAAATCAAGCTGTTCTTCATAGACAGTACTGTCCCTCTTTGTAGTTTCCCAGATGATCTACTTACTCTCAATGTCTCCCCCACCACACACACACATTTTCTCCCTGTGTCTTAATTCAAATTTCATAGTTGTATCCTAATTTATAATGTATGCATAAACTTCATTTCCCAATACTCCTTTCCACCTCTCCCCACCCCCTTGTTTAACCACATGCCTCACCATTTTTCAAAATAGGTATGCCTTCCATGGTGCCTGGATCATCCATAGCAGGTAGAGACTTCAGGTTGTCTATCTCAGGTGGTGACTTTTGTATGAGCATGCTGGAAGTTGAAGCTTCCCCAGCTGAGAAGCAATATCTCTAGGTTACCCTCAAGGTGGGATTCAGGGAAAGGAGTGCTACTTATTCTCTTTCATTTCCTCTGTAACTCTTAGCTGTCCAGGGCCTTTTCCCCCATAATCCAGTGAAAAATTAGAGAAGTCATGACTTTTCTCAACAACTGTCTTACCCTAAAAAAAAGGTTCTATTCCAAGCAGAACATGTAACTAGCTACTTTGAGACTGTGGTAGAATAGAAAGTCATTTCTCTCTGGGACTCTATCTTACAGGTTTTAGTGTCAATTACAGTCATAACAAGGACTCGGACAGATGAGCCCAGAAAGGGATTCACAAAGCACAGAGAAATCAACTACCAGGTCATGTGCTATAAATCTTGTCCTTCCTCAACTCCCTGGTGCGTCCTTCGTATCTGCCTGGGCCTATTCCCACACATGAGACCAAAATCTCTCCGTCCTTCGTATCTGCCTGGGCCTATTCCCACACATGAGACCAAAATCTCACCTGATACTTGTACCAGGAAGAGACATGACTCAGAGACAAATATTTTACTATATTGGGGATGGAATAAAGTCAGTTGGCCCCTAACACCTACATTTAGACTAGTAAGTTTCACATCCCATACTGAAACTCCCTGGAAGAGAACCCATCTGTCACTGGAGTCAGATCAGGAGACAATGGTACCTGTGCGCTGGGGAGGCCTGACTACCCCGTGAGATTGAATCATGCACATGAAAAATTTCAGATGAAATTCCTCTTTACGCATGGCTGTCTCCTAGAAATAGAGATGGAGTTTAATCCATTTGAACAGATCTGTGGAATGATTAGGTTGGACAAAACAGACATGGATCAGGTACGCCCAATACTAAAGGCCTTAGGACATGACAATATAAAATATCAGTATATGAAGGGATACAAATGATCTACTTTTATGTATTTGACAGGACAAGATCTCCTGAATTCAGCAAGTATTCTCCTTTTTACCTCAGAGTAGGTAAAAGGCTGGGGCCTCCAGAGGGTCCCCTTCTTTAAGTCTGAGCTCAGACTTCTGAGGTCTGGAGGGCCTACTCAGAAGCATTTCCTCCAAGACTTCTAGAGAGGGCCTGGGTCCAGAGGCCAAGTTGAAGGACTTGGCAAAAAGTCTGAATGAACAAACGTATTTCTTCTCATTATTTTCTTTTTAAAAGTAGGGCACAGATTACACGTTAATCCATTCAGTCACAGGAACACCACCAGGGCCATTTAGTTCTTCAGAGGGCCGACACCTGGGTCCTTTTCTACCTTTACTCAGAAAAGTACATCTCTGGTGGACCCCCAATAGCTCTCCTCACACCTCTGCCCATGTTTCAAACTCCTCCAGAGTCTGGAAGGTTCTACATGTTTCCGGAGTCTAACCTAAGCTCATCCTAAGATGCTTTTTTTTTTTTTTCTTTTTCCAAATGGCCAATCAAGCATGATGTGATGCAAAGAATACAGGACTGCAAGTTAAGAAACTTGTTTCCTAGTCCCAGATCTGCCATGCACTTTATAACTTTGGGAAATGACTTCACTTCCCTGAAACTGTTAGGACTAAAATCTTTCTCACAACCACTACAACCACCAACGTTCCGTGATTCTCAATAATACACGAAACAGAGCTCGACTCAGCTCTCAGGTCTGCATCTGTCAAGGTGGCCACAAGTTCCCGCCAGCCGAGGGAGGGCCACAGCGAAAAGCTGCCATGGAAACCAGAGCGAAAGCAAAAATCGCCGAGCGGAACCAGAAGACGGCGTGCAAGGGGATCGAGGGAACAGAAAAAAGCGAAGGACGACCGGTACACTAACAGTAATCCGAGAACGAGAACGAGAGAAACCGCAAACTGAAAGGGGAACAGGGAAACGATGACTTCACGCTTAGATGGTCCCTGGGCTTCTCAGGCCTGGCCACACTGCGCAGGCGTTCCCCTGGTCCTCAACTCTGCTCTTTGACCTCCCGCTCCACCCCACCCCCCCTCCGCAGCCACCGGGCGGCTCTTCCGGTGTTGTGGAGGCTGTTCCGGTTCGCGGCGGTTCCCGGGTTTTGCGTTCCGCGCCCGGCCGGAAACCCCTTCGCATAGCAGCCGGTTCCGGTTCGGTGAGTGGCGGCGGGAAGCTGGGGGAGGGGTGAGGATGGAGGGAGCCTGGGCCGGGAGGCAGTGCCGGTCCGGGCCCAGCAGCCTGGGCTGGGCTGGGCGGAAGCGGGGAGGGCTGTGGGGACGGCGCTTTTCCCTCTGCCCCGCCCCCTGGGACCACCCCCCCTCCCCCCTGCTATCCACCGGCCGCGATCTGGTCGGCGGCCGTTAGTTAGGCTTCCCGAGGCCGGTTCTTCAGGCCCCTTTCTCCTGGGCCGGGGAGAGGCCGTCTCCCTGCCGTTACCACGGGCCCCGTCTCAGCGGCCAGCCCTACTTGTGGGGAAAAGGCCGGTTGGGATTTCGGGGCTTTCCCGCCCGGGCAGGGTCTTCTCTCAAGGGAAAGCCGGGAAGCTCAGCTTTCTGTTACACCTGCTTCACCTCCCGACTTCCTTGAGACCTGAATGGTATTTCTCGACTACTTCTGCGTCTCACGTAAACATTTCTCCAACTCTTTTACTCTGTGGTATCTCCCTGAGCTGTGAAAACGCTAGTGCCACCACCAGAGAGAAACGGCTGGACCCTTCTGCCCAGGTTATGAAAATTCCCTTAAACTGCCACGGTTTGCTTACCTGGCTCATCGCCTCCTGGTCATTCCCTTGAACCGTCTCTTTCTTGGTTGTTCCCTAACGTGGTCTCTCTGGATATATGCCCGGCTTCTCTTGAGCTTGGTGATTTCTGTTTATCGGTGCCTCTGCAGTGTGTTCACTATCTTGTTGGCAATAACTTACTCCTTTATCACTTTCAAGTCAGCCTTATTAAGGTCATTTCACTTCACATTTGGTACACTTATTTGGGGTGGTGGTGATGCTTGTGAAGTTTATATAAAGCCTTATATAGGCTACCACCGATGTTACTTAGGGTCTTTGTTCTAATCGGATATTCTGAATGGAGTAGATCACATCATCTCCTGAATCTTTATCCTTTGTAGAGATAATTTGTGTTAAGCACTCGTGTTGAAAGATAGATTACACTGAATTTGAAATTAGAGTTACAGTGAAGCCTTAAGCATCTCGTAAGCATGAGCCCTCAACCTTCTTCCAATTAGAGATCCCCTGTTTTCCCTTTAGTCCCAATTTTGGAAGCCTCATTTCGTTTTTATTTTGAGAAGTCTCATTCATTTTTGCCTGATTCCAATTAATTATCCCGACTGCAGACCTGGTCTTCATCATGTCACCCATCTGATGAGTTAAATCTGGAGCGAGCAAATGGATTAAAAAACAGGTTCTGCCACTTCAGGCTAAGGTGATGTAACTCTTGACTACTGCTTTGAAAGTCTTTCCTTTCCTTTACCTGACTCCCACGCCTCCTGCCAATGCACCAGCTTTATTTCTTGCTATAAGTATCTGTTGATGGATCTGGTTTCCCCCAGTAGACAGCGTTTCAGCAGCAGGGACCAGTTGTTACTCATCTTTGTATCCTTAGTACCTCGTATGTAATTGGTGCACCGTAAATGTTTGTGTACTAAAGAAGTTGAATGCTTATTTTTTTTCGGTGTTAGAGTGTTAAGGTGTTAAGAGTCTAATTGGGAGAGATTACATGTAAAAGTATGAGAAACAAAAACAAATACGTGATGATATACTGCAAACTGTATCATATATATGATATATATTTTTATATGAGTTCAGAGTAGGAGGATTCACACGATCACTTCCACACCCTTCTCATATCGAAAATTATTCTAACCACATTTGGTCCTGGATAAAGCTAATTGCCTCTCCTCGGTATATACTTTCTAGCAACTTCATGGTAACTGTAAACATTCTCTTTTATAACCACCTCTTTGCATGTAAGCTTATACATGTTTTGTTCTACTTGTTACATTCTGTTACTGTCAAGACTTTGCCATCTTTTTTTTCTTTCAGATCTCCTGTTACTTTTGTGTTCAGCTATTAACTTGACTTCACCTGAATACCTGTAACAGCTTATATTCTTTTAGTAAATTGATGACCAGTGTGAACTAGGAAATGTTATTGGAATACTTTTCTTTCTTTTTTTTAATAAAGATTTTTATTTATTTGAGAGAGAGAATGAGAGAGAGAGCATGAGAGGGGGGAGGGTAAGAGGGAGAAGCAGACCCCCTGCTGAGCAGGGAGCCCTGATACGGGATTCAATCCCCGGACTCCAGGATCATGACCTGAGCTGAAGGTAGTTGCTTACCAACTGAGCCACCCAGGCGCCCCTAGAATACTTTTCTTAAAAGGAAAAAATTCTTAGGCTTGCAAGAATTTGGTGGCATCAAAGTTTCCAGATCCAGCATTTCATGTTGAATCTTGGAGTAAAATATCTCTACTTCTAATGTAAATGCGCATAAATGGCAAAAAGAAAGTAACATAAGCACCTGAAGAAGCTGAATGTATTTGTATTAAAATGTCAATATGGGGCTTTAATTATTAAAATTATGAAACTGTGGATCCCCCAGGACCATCCCCAAGAGATGAATTTTATCTTGCCAAAGTGTATGAATCTTTGAATGAAGATATGTTAAAGGATACCATGTTTTGTGGTGGTTGTTGAAAGCACATTTGCTTGGGAGTTAGGATACCCTGGATTTTTATCTTCCCTTTGCCCCATCTGTGTGATTTCAGGCAAGTCACTTAACCTTTCTGGACATAGTCTCTAAAATTCTTTGATTTCTTGATTCCCTCTTTACATCTATCTTAGCAATGCAAAGGAAGCAACATGGGATTGTTCTACTGGGCACCAAGCTTTTAAATTGGCATTCTCCTTAAATCAACAAAAAAGGCTAGTGATGACATTTAATGAAATAGCCTAAAAAAGTGAAATGTGAAAAAGCCACTGCTAGTTTATTGGTTGATAGGATTTTTTCCCTTAATGTGGAACCCAGGGAATTTCTTTATTTAAAAAGGAAGAAGGGGAAAGAATAACCTGGAGAATTTCCAAATAGCAGCTTTTTGTTAAGTTGAGCATTTGGAAACATACTCAAAGCCTAAATATAAGGCTTAAGTTATTTGGGAATCCTCCCCAGCAAGACTGGGTGATCAGATGATTACTCTGCTTAGTCTGTAGGTATGCCAGGAAAAGCTCAAGCAGGCTTCCTTCGTGTGTGCACTTCATTGCGACCATAAGGAGTACCTAATAGCATCATCCAGTCTCCTTAGTAGATTGAAGCCCTGATATTGCTAAAGTGGATTGATAAAGTTGATTATAAACTAAAGTTGATGAAGTGCTCAATCTTTTTAAAAATATGGTCATAATATTATGAATATAGTAAGTGTGACTGTTACCATCCCTAGTCTCCTCTTGGATCTGCCAAGAATCATGAGTGCCAAGGATATGTTTATTAACCTAGTTCCAAGCAGTTAGGCTTTTAAATTCCTTTTTCTGGGAAAATTAGATACATCAGAGGAGAAAATAATTTCGTGTAGGCAAAGGGGCTTTGGTTTGTAACGGGAGAGAAAGTACTTTAGTACAACTGGGAAGTATTTCTTGATTGTTCTTAGAATATCAGTAGCTATATTTGGCCACTGACTAAAACATATGGAAGAGAAGTCTAATGGTACCACCATAAGATCTATCACTTGTTTATAAAATGGTTTACCATGAGGTAATAGAGCAATGGATTTCTTGGTTGTAATTTCAGTGCAGTCACTGACTAACTTTATGACCATATGCAAATTAATCTCCAAAGGGTTGGCACTACCAACTTCTTGCTGTAATAGTCTGTGATTCTGTGGGTAGTCCATAATTGCTGTTTAATATAGCTCAGGGTTCAGAAATGTTTGGAATTGCCTCAACTAGTTTTAGTTTCTATTCTCTTCCCATCAAGTCATCTCTCCTTACCACCTTATATTTTTCTCTACTAAGAACACAAATGTCACTTTGAGTGGCTTCCTGTTCTATAATTATATGAAGGAGCTGTTTCAGTATGTAACATTTCTGTTTTCTGTCTTCTTTTATAGGACTTTGTATCTTTGCTAAAGTCAGTGATGTGAAAGGACCTGACATGGGTAAGTCTGACTATGAAATAGTAATTCAGTCCTTTTAGTTACTCTGATTAGTTCAGTTGAATCGAAAGAATGGTTTTTGTTTTTGTTTTTTAACATTTTCAGTATTTGCATCTTTGTGCTTAATAATAATCTTAAAGGAGATCTCAACCTAATTATGTAATAATGACAATTTTCTTTTGGTTGAGACATTGTTTATAGCATCATTTGGAAGCGTTTTTCATTCATTGTATTGAAAAAGCCAGATACACACTAGCAGACATTTATTATGTGCCAGGCCTTATTCTGAGTACTTAAAATATATTAATTCATTTCATTTTTTACAACTGCCTTACACGGGTGCCTAATATCAACAAGGAAACTGAGGCACAGAGGTTAAGAAACAACTTTAACTGGTAGAGCCAGAATTTAAACTCAGGCAGCCTGGTTCCAGAGTCCTTATTCTTTCGTACTGTGTTATACTAACTTCTGTATGATAAATAATTTGATTAAGGTAGATTTTAAATTTCATTTAGCTAGTAGCATTGAGAATTGTGATTACAACATTTTCCACTATTTATAGTTCTTTATGTCTATAAAGGGGATCAATACAAGGTCAGGACTAGTAGCCAGTTAGGAATAGTTTGAACAATTTATTTATACAGTTAGATCTTATAACATTCCATGTGCTCCTTTTTAAGTCACGTTAGTCTTCTCTCTTCTGTTTTTTTCTTTTGCTTAGTCTACCTTCTCTCTCCCCTGGTCATCTGTTTCACTTTTTCTCTAATTGTTGATGTCACTGTAAGTCACTAAATTCCGTCGCTCTGATCTGTTACTATTCTAGCTCTTTTATACTAACAAAGGTCTCAAAGGTGGTGATACGTCCTCTATCAAAGGTGGTTATGAAGTAAGGTTCTGCCATAGCATCACAGTAATTGAGCTGATACCTGTTAAGAGCCAGATGAATAAACGATACTTTTTGCAGAAAAAAGTTCAGGTACATTATTTTTTAAAGCACCTTTTTGAGTTAGACAAAGGAAATAAACAGTTGTTAACAGTGTTTGTTTCTGAATGGTGAAATTTCTTTCCCTTTTTTTTAATAGTTAAATTTTTTTCTATAGTTGAAACATTCAAAGTTTTTCTTAGGGAAAATTTCATTTTTTTAAAAAAAACTTTGAGTTAAGCTTTTTTTAATACTTGCACAAGTTTTGAACTATTTGGTAGATAGATGATCTCAGTCAGTTCCAAATGAGCCAATTTCTGCATGTGGGCCTCTTTTTGACAATGACATTTTGAGATTTCTGGCCAATGGTTAGTTCTGAACGAGAGGTTTTATTTGACTATAGAGATGTTCTTTGGGAATCATTTTTATTAGGTGAAATGATTTGTTCATAGGAAAGTAGTTATTGAAGAATTATGTGACCTGAATTAATTCGGATTCTTTCCTCAGATGATATTGCTGATAGGATGAGGATGGATGCTGGAGAAGTAACTTTAGTGAACCACAACTCCATATTCAAAACCCATCTCCTGGCACAAACAGGCTTTCCAGAGGACCAGCTTTCATTTTCTGACCATCAGGTTAGGAATAATTTTCTTCCCTTAGTTAATGAATTCGTTTGGCTTAAGTTTTCATCTGATGTAATTTAAATGCCACACTCAAAAGGATAAACATATATAAACTTTTTAGAATCAGTATTTCTGATGTTTTGAATTCTTTTTGATAAAGTTAAGACAAGAACTATGCTGTGTATGAGTTTTTTGAGAACAATATCTTTTAGAAAACTTTTTATTATTTCTGTGCATATTACAATTACCAAAGCACAGGTCAGTGTTCTTTTAAACTAGTGTCTTAAAATTGCTGAGCATTAAATGTGGGGAAATATGTAAATATACAGAAGCTTTGAGATTTCCCTGTGCTATAAAATGTAATTTCTCAAAGGACTAGTATCAACAGCATCCCCTGGGAGTTTGTTAGAAGTGCAGAATCCCAGGCTTCACCCCAGACCTACGGAATCAGAATCTACAGTTTTAAAAATTCCCAGCTGATAAATAGAAATACCACATGATCCAATAATTTTTCTCCTGGGTACTTACCCAAAGAAAATGAAAACACTAAATCAAAAAGACATATGCACCCTTATGTTTATTGCAGCATTATTTACAATAGCCAAAACATGGAAGCAACCTAAACGTCCACTGATAGAAGAATGGGTAAGGAAGATGTGGTATACATATACACATATCATGCAGCCATAAAAAAGGATGGGATCTTGCCATTTGTGACAGTATGCATAGACCTAGAGAGTATTATGCTAAGTGAAATAAGACTGAAAGACAAATATCATACGATTTCACTAATATGTAGAATCTGAAAAACAAAACAAAATGACAGAATTTGATCTGTAAATACAGAGAACAAACTGATGGTTATGGGGAGGGGAGGTGGAGCAAAGTGGGTGAAGGTGAGTGGGAGGTACAGGCTTCCAGTTATGGAGTGAATAAGTCACAGAAATAAAAGACATAGCATAGGGAATATAGTGTGACAGATGGTAGCTACATTTGTGGTGAGGATAGCATAACATATAGAAAAGTTGGATCACTATGTTGTACACCTGAAGCCAGTGTAACATTGTATGTCAGCTATGCTGAAATTAAAACATTTTTTAAAAAAAGAAAAAAAAAGCTCCAGTTGGGTTATTTGCACATTAGGGTTTGAGGAACATTGTTAATAAAGCAGTCTTTCTCAGTAGGAAAGCCATTACTAATATGGATGAGACAGTTCTTTACTATGTGAATCTCTCCCAAGCAAAGCAGAATGTTTAGCATTCTTGGCCCTTGGGCACTAAATATGTGTAACATCTGCCCCCAGTAATCATTTTTGGAAACTGAATATATAGTCACACATTTCCAGATTAGTACTGGGGTGCAGCCCCACCCTTGATTAAGAACTTCTGTATGAAGTTATCAAAAGATTCAAAACCAGGTTCATTTGTCACCCTCTTTGATAAATGATACAACTGGCTTTCAGAACAGGATATACTGTGTGCATATTTACCTTTTAATGAGTATCCTTTGAATTAAGTTGTATAACAGATACTTTGCCTATTTTTCCCCCTTGAAGCCTCAGTCATCAGATTGTCTATGCGTTTTCCTTTCTTATTAGTATGTAGTTTCTTTATAATATATAAAAATATAATTATACTGAATTCTGAAATATGTCATAACCTTGTTTAATGATACATTTTTCTAAACATAAATTTTTATTCCATTTTATTGTCAAAAATATGATTTAAGAAAAATCTTTTGCTTTGTTTAGATTTTACCTTCCAGGGAAGGAAATTTGGACCGATCTTATACATGTTCTACGAGAAGTGCAGCTTATAATCCAAATTATTATTCAGGTATGACATATTACTTGGAGTCACAGCATTTGTACCATTCAGATTTCTTCCTAGCAAATTGTGTGTGTTTACCATCTCTAGAGCGAAAACATTGTCAAAAGCAAAATGGTATTTTCTCCACTAAAACATCACTGTGTGTGGGGGAGAGGGGAGGTTACTATAATACTTTACTGACCTAGTCTCAACCACTTACATTTAATGGAAAAGTTTTTTGGGGATCTATTTTTTTACTTGTTCATTATGTCATTGTGAAAAGCAGTACAGCTTTGGTTTTGACTTTTTTTTTTTTAAGATCTGTGTGTATGATGTAAAGGATATTTGTTTTGGATTGATATAAAGCACAGAGTTAGCCTATTTCTATTCTGCTTGAAACCATGAATCCTGAAAAATTATTTCTACCCAAGCTTGTCCCTCCATCAGGGCAGGAAATGTTAACTACATGTTTCTGTCTAGCACCTGCCACAGCCATGCTTGCATATTCAAAGGCTTGCCTGTTCAGCTTGTGATCCATGGCAGAAGTCAGCATTCTCTAGGCTCTTCCTAGTCCCTGGCCTGCCCGACTTTCCATCTGCCCCCTTCCTAAGGTTAGGACTTCCAGTGATCTTCTGGCTCTGTCTTGGGGAAGCTAAGAGGTTTTTGTTGATTAGCTTCCTGGCAGTACGACCCAGGAAGATTATAGTGCCTTCCCATGTCTTATCACTCCTAATGCTTCAGTCTCCTTACCTTCCCACAAATATGGGAATATTAGTAATACTGTTGAACCTGCCCTAATAGGATTTTTATAAGGATAAATTGAGGTAATAAATATGAAATGCAAATAATAATTATTGTTGTTATTTGGCTTCCTCAGGATTCTTTGTCAGCAAGATGAGATCTCGTCCCCTAAAAAGACGTTAGTATGATGATCTTTTAGATTTATATTATATTTAAATGTCATTTAGGTGGGTGGTACTTTACCCTGGGCTCTGAATTTCCTCTTGTGGTATGGGAAATGGTCTCCACAAAGTATGTGCATAGTTTGTGTAGGAAAATCAGTTAACTGGCTCAGAAAGTAACTCTGCCATCATTATTATTGGAAAGGCCTTTCCGATGAGCAGAGAGCCTGACATCTAGTTGGATAGTTCATTATTAATCCTAGGGAAAGGACAGTTGAGTGGATAATGAAATGAGATCATTAGTATTTCCATTTGAACTCAGGCTGTGCTTGCTTATAATTTCATATTGTTGATTTACCATTGGATAGAATATTTACTTTTAGTTTAAAATAATTGCTTAATAATAAACAATTATATATAGAAAATTATACTCAAAATCTGCTGACCATAACAACTCAACTCTGTGGCCTTATCCATGTGGACATACATGATATACATTGTATGATTCAATACAGATCTTTTTTAGCCCAATATTTTAATTTTTACTTTTCCATCTGTTTACATGTTATTCTTGGTGTCTACCTTTTTCTGTTGATTTCTAATAATCCATGGAACTGATATGCACATTCACAATGCTTTATGTGCAATTCCAAAATCCAGAAAGCTCTGAAAACCAGAAATTCTTTTCATAATTCATTTGGCATCCAGACTGACCCGACCTGAATTCGTTCCTTGGCAAAACCCACATGAACTGACATGAAGCTATTTATATTTTTTCTTCTATTTATTTCTGTAAATATGAGTATTTATATATTTCACTGCAGATATATCAATATGTTTGATTACAGGGTGTAGCTTCAAATTATACCTTGAAGTGTTACATAGTATATCCCAGGTTATCTTTCTAAAATTCCAAAAATTTTAAATTCAGAAGTGCAGTGGGACCTAGGGGACTATGATTTAGGATAATGGTCCCATTCCTTCATTTGCTTCATTATTTTCTCTATAGTTTAGGTCTCCTTCACACTTACTATTTTTAGCTATTGTAAATAATATGACTTAAAAACATTTGTATATATAGCCTTTTTTCTTTTAAATTTCATTACACCTTTGATATTCATAAAGGATATATCCGAGATCATCTCAGATCTTCATGTTCTTGACTATGGTGGTATTTGACCAGATTCTTGGCTTTCTACTCAATTGCATGACTCTTGAGAGGTACATTTTTCCTATGTTTGTCATCATACCATAAGTTGATCCTTATATCAGAATGTTACACTGAAGTTTTGTCTCTCATTTGAAGGCTATTTTTTAGGGAAAAAAAATTACTTCATGACAGTTACTGTATACATGATGATGAATAGCGAATAGCAACAGTGAATAACAAAGCCATATTGAAATGGGGATGCTGAGCTATTAGATTCATTCTCTAAATTACAGCCTGAAGCAGAGGATTCAGATTTGTGCCTCTACCAAATTTCATCTCATCCCTGACCAAACAAATGTATGGCATGTCACAGTCCTCCAGGGTTGCTCTCTGACAATCAAAATTTTAAATCTGTGAAGGCCAAGGGTTTCAATACTTTTTTCTTAAAGTCTTCAATTTAAATCTACTTTTTACTGTGTATTTTTCTTAACTTCATTCCTTTGCCACACCCATTCCAATTGATTGTAAGTCCTGCGGAATTTTGTCTCTGCTCTCTCCTTTGTATGTCTTCTTTTCCGATAATCCCGACATTGATTTCTGTAGTCAGTCACCTTGAGCTTCATTGCTTGATTGGGCGAGATGGGGGTCTCCAGTTTACCTGCCTTAGTCTTCTCATTTTGTCTTGGTGTTTGTCTCCTCTCTTGCTATTCTCTTTTCCATCAAGGTGAAAACAAACATGGGAAAGCCCCAAACTTTAGAATCTAGGGTCTGGAGCTTACCATTTACTGCTTTACTGCATCTGCCTCTCTGTATCAAGTTTTTTAAAAATTTGCTTCTTAATCCACTTAATATTAGACTATTAAAAAAAACTTTTTTAGAAAGCAGAGAAAATGCAACTCTTTTACTTTAGTAACTTACTGCTGGTCAGACTTCAAGACCTCTTGCTTTTATTAACACAATTGAAAATTAAAACATTTTAAACACTAAACAAAAGTAGATTAAGATGAAAAGAAATGATTTTGCTCTTGCTTAGAATCATTATCAACATCTTATCTTTGGAAAATATGTTAAATTAGGTTGCCATACTGGCATTTAGTAGATGATTTAAAGCATCCTGCTATTTATAATAACGAAATCTGAAAGTTAACAGGAGCAACTGATGATGGTTACTTTCATTGTAAGTGATTGCCTGACATACTTTTTTTAAAATATAAAGTTTATTTCATTATGTCCATAAAAGTATTGCTTGTCCTTGTAGAAAATTTGTAGAGAAAGGTAGAAAAATACCCATCATTCTATTATTGGAACACAACCAAAATTAAACTTTTGGTGTATTTCCTTATAGTTTTGTGTGTGCGTATGTAGACGTAGTAAGTTACCTTATTTGTGGCATTTGCAATCTGATTTCTTAACGATGACAGAATACCAGGTTAAACCATCACTAAAAAGAGTGTCTGCAGCCCCATGTGGGTCCCTCTCTAGCTCTGCTTGATTACATCAGCAATAGAAGACTACTGATTGCTTTCATTGAGTGGGGATGGAACCACCTTGTTCTGGTTAAACAGACTGCCTGATCCTGTGCTCTTCCCTTGCATTTAAAAGCTGAAGCCTTTGTGAAATGCCATTGAGGAGGCTACTTTGGCTTATCCTTGGTCTCAAATTTCACACTTATCAGGGTAATTTTGCATTTTTGGTAGACATTCCTCAAGTAGACATCTCTAGTTAGATCATTCCCTAATCATATTTTAGCAAAGAAGCATAAGAGACAGATTTCTACTGTTATTACTTTGCATTTAAAGATTAAAATGTTCTGGTCCTTTAATGCTACTCATTTTTTTTTATTAGCCTTATGTTTCTCTCCTTAAAGTAGTAATAGTAATAGATGCTAAGCATAGATACTGATTGCAAAGGTACAAGGTTATAGTTAATTTTGAGAGTAAATTTAATTATTAGAGTAGGTTCATTCAGTGGTGAATCAACTGGTACTAATACCACCCCTGAATGCTGCTTTTTTCCTTGTCTTATTTATCCTAAATCCTGATAATCTTGATTAAAAAAACTCACAAAAAAACCAAACAAACAAACGCCACAGTACAAAACTTATTTTCGTCAGCTACCCTATTTTTTGGATACAGTATCAAAAGCCACGTTAAATATTTTAAAATAATATTGTGCAGAGTTCTATAGTGATATGCTTTGAAAGAGGATCTTCAAAATGATGTTAGCATTAGGCAAAAATTCAGAAAATAGAGAATTATCATTCTCATTTTTGCACTGGTGCTCCTCAGAGTTCCATAACCTGACATCTGAAGTTATTTTGAAGGTGCTGTTTTAAATTGTTTGATCCTGCTGATAGGGAGAGGTGGATTTAGAAATTATTCTATTCCTGGGGTACCTGGGTGACTCAGTTGTTTGAGCATCCAATACTTGATCTCAGCTCAGGTCTTGATCTCAGGCTCGTGAGTTCGAGCCCTGCGTTGGGCTCTTTGCTGGGTGTGGAGCCTACTTAAAAAAAAAAAAAAAAAAAAGGAAAAAATTTTCTTACCCCAGTTTGTAAGCCACAAGTCAGGAGATTCAAATAATAAATAATCCTTAGTCTGATTGCAATAACAAGCATTGGAGGGAGTATTGATATGTCTGATGATTATGACATTAAGTGACCGAACGTTATCATACCAGAACCAGATGCATATGATGGGTCATTCCTGCCATAAGCCAGCCAGAATAAGCAGCAATGAGGTTATCTCTGCTCTTAGAGAGAGCCCCTGAGTCGTGAACATGGTAATTAAAAATAAGAAAGTGACACCAGCTGCTTATTAAGCGATAACTGTTGTTCATTTGAATTACAATTCTCCTTGGCCCTCCACCTGCTTTCTTACTGGTCTGGCCTACCTTCTTTCAGGCCCAGGCCTGGGAGTGCTTGCAAGATATAGTTGGGGTAAAATGTTGACTTTTGGTGGACACCACGGAGTCACATTGATGCAGATAAGGCACATGGCTGTGGCAGGATTCAGCTCCTTCATCAATTTTCAGGTTAGTATGGCTGAATCAATTATAGTTTGTAGAAGTTCCCTTACTGCAGACTTTACTGGCAGTTGAGACTGGGATCTTTCTTCCATGAGAGACATGGTGCTTTACCACATTACTTTGGAATACAATGTTGGACATGGTTGCAGTCATATGGAAAACTACTGTAGGTATTTGTCTAATTATTCGAACTTTTATTCTTTTAGACAACCCTTCCTCAGACAGTTTTCTTGGCTCAGGAGATTTAAGAACCTTTGGCCAGAGTGCAAATGGCCAGTGGAGAAATTCCACTCCAGCATCAGGTTCAACTTTACAAAAATCAAGAAACAGCCGAAGTCTTTACCTCGAAACCCGAAAGACCTCAAGGTAGGTATTCTGGCCTCCTAGTTCACAAGCCTTTCCTCTGATATAAGAGAAAATGGCCATGAGATAGTTGTTGACACTGGCATTTTATTTTATTTATTTATTTTTGGGGTGCAAAAAGGTGGTTTTATTAAAGCATGGGGACAGAACCCTTGGGCAGAAAGAGCTGTTGCCCCGGAATTGTGGAGAGCAGCTTGACATTGGCATTTTAAAGGAGTAACATTGTTTCTGAATTTTAAACTGTGAAAATATGGACAAATCCATTTTAAACTTTCAACTTTTAATTTACTTGGTGCTGAATTTTGGTGACAGCCGAAGTTTCTCATTAGAGGAGAGTTTTGAGGGAAATCTTGGTGCATCTGAGTATTTTGGGATTAATATGGCTGTTATGAATCTTAAATTTCTACAACTTCAGTAGCAAAGAAATCAGTACATTTTATAGGCTTTCACATGAGCAGAGACCTGGCTTAAACCAACGAAGTTCTGCACTTCATGGCCTTAGTCAATAGACCTAAACTACCTCTCTTAGAAAATAGAGTTATGAATTCTTTATAACTGTTTTCTTTTTCCTTTTTAGCCCAATTTTATAAGTGCTACCTATTCCCTCACCAAGCTTATACTGATCATTAAAGACAGATGAAGTTTGGCTTAGAAACTTTTCCCTCAGCAACTTTATTAGTAAAATATATATATTTTTAAATATTACTTATGACTTCTTAAATTTTACTCTGGTGATGGATTTTAGGAATATGGGATCATTTAATTTCCTGCTTAGGCAATGCTAAGCTTTCTGTCGTTGATTGAAACCAATGAGATAGCCTTTATTTTATGATTATTAGCACATGGACTCTGGAAACATGTGTCAGTACTCCCAGGGGTCTTCCCCACTTCTTAATATATTTTTAAATTACACAAGAATTCATTAATGCATTCACATTGTAAAAATTAAAACATTGCCAATAAAACTAAAGATCCTTGACCATTCCTCACAATCTTATTCCCCTCCCTTTGGTGTGTTTCCTTCCAAACCGTTCCCCTATGCTTGGGTTTGTTTTTTTTTTCCTCCTATGTAGCATGAGATGTATGCTATGTATACTATGAAATGTATAATGCTATTTTGTCTTCATTAAAGATTTTCTATATGTATTATTTGGCAAATTGCTTTTTTTACCCGATAAGGCCATACTGTTATTTTTTTTAAATAGTATTATTATAGAAACAAATACATGTGCTTTGTAAAGATTCAGAAAATACAGATAGGTAAAAATAAAAAGTAAAAACATCATGTTTCCACCAGTGAGAGATCACCTCTGTAATATCCTAGTGCATATCTTTTCAGATAGTTTTCTCTGCATTTACATGAATTTTCTGGGTGTTTATTGCCCTTAAGTCTTTTACAGTCTAGAACAGCCCTTTTTCCTTATGACGTGACCTTTTCTTCATGATGTTCCACCTTTTGGACTTGACAGGTTTCTTCCTCATAGTATTATTTTGTCATCTATCCTCTAGTTTTTGTAAACTAGATTTTTATCTTGAATAAAAGCTGGTGCTATGTTATATCACATTAAAAACCTACAAATCTGGTTCTCCTCATTAGTGATACTGGATTGACCTCTGGATTAGAGAGAGAACAATCTGGTCCTTTTGTGCAGTTAGTTTTTTCCCCCTTGTGATGACTAGAATGTAATCTAAATGATGATACTTTGGCATTATATCAATGACCAATTTCACATCAGCCTAATAGTTACTCATATCAATTGATAATCCTTACCTGATAATTTTTTTAAATTGAGGTGAAATTGACATACATTATATTAATTTCAGGTATATAACATGATGATTCAGTATTTGTACATATTACAAAATGATCACAGTAAGTCTAGTTAACATCTATCATCATACATAGTTACAAAATAGTTTTTTCTTGTGATGAGAACTTTTAAGACCTACTCTCTTAACAACTTATAAATATGCAATATAATATTATTAGTTCTAGTCACCATGTTGTACATTACATCCCCAGGACTTATTTTATCCTTGAAGTTTGTGCCTTTTATCCTTCTTTGACCTGATAATAGTTTTATTAGAGTTAATGAAATAGTACTTTTCCAATGTTACTATTTCTTCTATACTTATTGTCATTCTGCTATGAAGGGGATATTTTTTTTCCTCATTAGGTAGGGTTGTATGGTTATCCTGAAATACATCTCCTACTGGGAAGGCAGGAGATAGGATTAGATCTTTCTTTTTCATTACCGTATTCAAAGTAGATTTGTTTTTTTTTAATAGCCACTTCATGTGGTTCAGATGAATTTTTCTATTCTTTTTTAGTGTTATTCCAGATTCAGTGTGTTTCAGTCCACTACAATCATTATTCTTTTAATGTTCACATTCTCACAGTTTTGGCCACCGGGACTCCTTCAAGCTCACTGCTGTGTCTGGCCCAACCTCTTTAATTGTAGGTAGCATCCTTGCTTTCTGGCATTGCAAGATGCCCTCCACTGTTTTTTGTTTAGAAGAAAGTCTTTTGCATTAAACACACACACTCTAGGAAGCATCAGTGCAAAAGGCATTGTGGGGAATTCATTATATCTTCACCAGACAAATTATACTGCCCTTGCCCTCTTTTTGTAGCGGCATCCACCCATCCTAAGGAAATAAGCCTGTTCCTGAAATTCTGACTCCTTGTTTCTTTCCCCACTCTAACACACATAGAAACCATTGTAATTTGAAGAGTTAGAGAGCATGTGATTTTTTTTTAAGTTTGCATTTTAATTCCAGTTAACGTACAGTGTTATATTAGTTTCAGGTGTACAATATAGTGATTCAGCACTTCTACACATCTACCCCGGTGCTCATTACAAGTGCACTCCTTAATCCCCATCACCTGTTTCACCTGTCTCTCCCACCTCTACCTCCTCTCTGGTAACCATTAGTTTGTTCTGTATAATTAAGAGTCTGTTTCTTGACTTGTCTCTCTCTTTTTCTTCCCCCCCCCCCCTTTGAGAGAGTATGTAAGTGCTTTTTTATTTTCTTTACATCTAGTCTGATTTCATTTGGATCCAGACCAAATGTACTGATTTAAAGAGTTGATTTCATTGAATTCAACTTAGTTGGTTGTGTATCTCTATTCTGCATCCTCAGGAAAAAAAAAGAGAGAGAAAATTCAGTATGCTGAGAGCAAGTACATAACTTGCTGGGCAGTAACAGATAAAAAAGACCACATAGAAAGATAGAACTTTAAATTATTAATCTAGTCTTAGAGATGAGACTTGGTTTTAAGTTCACAAAAGTATTTTTCCTTCCAGTTTTTTCTATTATTGGGGGTGCACAAATAGTTTAAAGAAACAAAAACAAAAGTCTCCTTCAGAGGAGGTAGTTAGGCCGGAAGAATTGACCAAGAGTGATGTAGCCTAGGAGAAAGCCTTCTGGTTGTTTTTTAATGAAGGAAGGGAGCCATCTGTTGGTTTTTTTAGGAAATTTTAAAATTCAGTTTAAAAGCTCCATTGAGAGGCTTCAGCTTTATCCATCTTTGCATATTGAATCCTAAAATTCCTTCCAAAGGACTTGTGGGAGGAGGCTGCAGCGAGTAAATAGAAAGTGTACGTTAGATCCCTCAGACCCAGGTTTTCTGAAGAAGTCTAACCTGATGTACTTGTCATACTGCGCAGGTCTTTGGTTCCTGACCAAAGGAACTATAAAGCTAAGAAATACAATTTGGGATGTTTGATAATTATATAGTATGGCAATCTAGGACTTCTTAAGTGGCCGAACCTGATGCAGCAACCCATGTCTCATTTCTTGTATATTTCCCTCAAATGGTACATCCCTCATTCTGCCTGTTGGTGTTGGTTTTGTTGACACTTTGGTGGTTTTTGTTATTTCCTGAAAGTAAAAATCACTAGGTTCGATTTTCTTGCTGTTCTTTTCTTACAAACTCTGTTTTTGTTTTTGTTTTTTTAGTGGATTATCAAACACTTTTACGGGAAAGTCAAACCATCACTGCCATGTGTCTGCATATGAAAAATCTTTTCCTATTAAGCCTGTTCCAAGTCCGTCTTGGAGTGGTTCATGTCGTCGAAACCTTTTGAGCCCCAAGAAAACTCAGAGGCGACATGTTAGTACAGCAGAAGAGGTAAGGAAAACCTGCAACAAAGGCTGCTAAAGGTTAGAATCTTTCCCTGTACTTAGCCATTTGTTCCCTCTGATTTCGATGTTTATTAACCATTCCATTTAATCCTTTCTGTGCTTTTTATTTCTTACTTTTTTGAGTGCCGTCATCTGTGCTAAAGAAATTAAAGAAAGATTTTAGCAGGACTTCATTTCTCTTACTGTTTTCTATTCTTGTTGAGCAGCAGACTTAATTTTCAGTATTTTCTAAATGACTTCTCATACATCAAACTATCTCTGTTCTCTCTTTTTTGGACCCTTCCTCAACTCGAGTTTCTTGTGGCAAAACTGTTAACCTTGCTGGATGTGATAAAATACCTGCCCTTATTTCTTATTAGGATAATTTCCCCTCAGTATAAAAAGAAAATCAAGAAGCCAGCAAAATAATTTATGTCCCTTCATTATGAGCAAGAAGATTTTTGAGATCATAGATATTCCCCAAAAGAAAGATGTTTTGTTGACACTTTGGTTGTTATATGCATTCAGTAAACCTAAAGGAAAAAAATCAATTCTGTAAATATAATATGGCATATAATTTATGTGGTAGAGAATGTGCTTGTACCTGTTAAATATTTATTATGCATCTAGTCAGCCTTGGACTGCTTGCTATGAGGATACAAATAAATAACAATACCTTACATTTATGTAGCATATAGAGTTTCCAGTATGCTTTCCACATGTATTATTATGTTGAATCATTTTAATCCTGTGAAATAGGTAGAGATGAGGTAATATCCACATTTTATACGTATTAGGAGAGTGAAGATCAGAGGTCATACAGCTAGTACATGGCCAGCCTACAACCCAGATCTTCTGGAGTCTAGTCTGGTATGCATCCTGTTATACAACACAGCGGTGTAGTTCCAGCCCATTGGAGCTTACAGACTGGGGAGTCAAGAATACAGCATTTTGTGCTAAATAATTAGATAATTTGAAATGAAGATCTTTTAAGTGGCAAAATGTGATTATTTGTGACATGGTTAGTAAAAATGCTATACATTCTAAAAAAAAAAAAATGCTATACATTCTGTTTGGTTTTACGTTTGTACTGAATCTGAAATATTTTAAGCAGAGGGTGGCAGAAGTAGTAAGTCATATTTAGTAGAGAAAGGGTAGACGAGAAACTGGCAGCAGTTGGCTTTGGTGATGAGAGCTGAGCAACAGTTATAAAAGTGAGATTTATCTTTCACTTTTGTACTACTGAATTTAGTACCACGTATGTATTGGATATTACATAAATAATATTTTTAGATTACTGGGGTTGCTTCTGCTGGAGCCTAGGCAGCCTGTGGGGTCCAGAGAGACTTGTGGGGAAGGAGACAGCAGCAGCATGGTCGCTGGATATTGGCCTCCCAACCCTCCCCTGCCTCACGTGGCTGCCGCTGAGATTACCGGGATCTTTTAAGATTATCTGTGTTCATTGTAAGCCCACTATTCACCCACTAGCCAAACAGGCCTTTGGACTACTCAGCCCCTCCTCTTTTCACTTCTACCTCCACCTGAGGACTTGGGCCAGCTGGATTATTTTCAACTCTCCAGGCCACAGGCTGGCCCATGTAGGACATGAAGCTGGAGTTCCCCTTCCTTCTACAGTGCCAAAAAGATGTCAAGGATTGAACCTATCCCATGCAACAAGAGATGCAGAAAATTTTGCATCAATCAGTTGTTTTTAGGTCTATATTCTGCTATGAAAAGCGACTCACTTGTAGTATAGAAATATGGAATCACCCATATAATACAATTGGACCAAACTTTATTAAATCAAAGTATCAACAGATTATTTAGATATTTAGTCTGGGATAGTATGGATAATCTAGATTAAAATATATTACTTTTTTCTCCCAGGGGATAAAGAATTTGCTGGTAGGATCTTACAAAGTGGGGGAAAAGTTATTTTCCATGGAAATATTTGGGATTTCCAAGGGAGATACAGTTGCTTATGTTAAAGAAGGAAAATTATTTTTTAATTTTACTGCTGGATTTATCACCTTTAGGAATCTAAAGCCATCTATAAAATTAACATGATGTTACCACTGCACTGTTCAGTCTTCCAACAGGAGTTTAAAGAAAATACATAAAGAAGAATTTGGAAATACGTAAGTGGTGACTGGACCACCACTTGGCTGATGGCTGATTCAAGGATATCATTAAAGAACTGTACTGTCAAATAGGGTAACCACTTGTCATATGCGCTACTTAAATTAATTCAGTTAAAATAAAAAATTTAGTTTCTCAGTCACATTAGCCACATTTCAAGTACTCATGAGCCACATACTCTGTTGGCTGTTGGACACATATTGGACATGTTGCTAAGTGGCTACCATATTGGACAGTACAGATACAGAGTATCTCCAATATAACTAACACTGTTTAGAGGATATGGATTTCTGTTTGGGAAAGAGAAAATACTAGGGATTTTAAAAATGTAAAACAGTAAAAACTCAGATAGTTTCTTTTCACTTATATGTTGCTTCCAGGCATGCTTCTCTGCAACATATTGAGCAACATTTTAGGATGTTGGACTTCCTTAATAGATGACACTGGTGGTTTTATTCTTTAAAAACAAAACAGACTTTACAATTTTGTCATAACCGAGAATTTTGGACTTAAAGTTGTTGAATTATGCACTTTTGGTAGTTGAAATTTATTTATATAATATACATTTTAAACAGAATCAAAATTGGGAGGGGCGCCTGGGTGGCTCAGTTGGTTAAGCGACTGCCTTCGGCTCAGGTCATGATCCTGGAGTCCCTGGATCGAGTCCCACATCGGGCTCCCTGCTCGGCAGGGAGTCTGCTGCTCCCTCTGACCCTCCCCCCTCTCATGTGCTCTCTCTCTCTCATTCTCTCTGTCTCAAATAAATAAATAAAATTTTTTTAAAAAAAAAATCAAAATTGGGAGATTTATGAAGTTATTTGAGTAATTTACAAAAGAGTTTGCTAGTTTTCTAAGATTTATTTTGTGTTCTCTGTTAAATTTTTATAATTTTACAGACAGTTCAGTTTTATGATGGAGACTCTTAACAGAAGCATCTAAATGCAAGAATCTGCCAAAAAATCTATTTTTTAAATCTATTTTTAAAAAACAGAATTCAGCACCTTATATATCTTTATACTGTTTTAAACTTTCCTTGGTCCTTTATTATGTTTAAAACATAACATCAGCCAATTTCTTTTACCTTAACATATTATCCAATTATTATTTCCTTTCCTCTTAATTTCCTAATTTGCTTACTCGGTAGGAACAGTTTAATAAGTAATGTACAGAGAAAGGTGTTTTCTTTTACTTTATAGTACCAGATGCTCCAAAAAAGAATTGTGTTTGAAGTTTGAAGTGACTTACCTTTTTGCATTTTCTTTTGGTAAAGCCAGATGTTATATATGTTCTTTTGAGAGTTGCTGGGACTATCTTTTCTTTGCCTAAAATAGAAGATAAATTCTTGTGACCTTTAAATTACCGTGTAGAACAGTGAAAAGTTCTTAACCTTTTTTCTATAATTTCTTTTTTAGACTATAAATTAGTTGAAACTGAAAGTATGAGGCTTCAAGAGACCTCAGATAATTATTTGGAATACAGAACATCTATTCCTGTTCATTTTATGGTGTCTAATGACTGTGAGGTTGTTCAGGCTTAGACAGACGCTTTTCTTTGAAAAGCTAGGGAAAATATCTGTGGGTGACCTGTGTGTGTTTAATTGATTTTTAAAAATCAGTTCTTTACATTGAATTAATCTAGATTTGTCATAATTTACTTTAGCTGAGTCACTTAATGGCACCTTGGTTCTTCATGTTTTATTTAGAAGTATAAAAATTTATTCTAAAACCATTTTGCCGTGTGATGTGAGGGAGGCGAGAAGTGTTTTTAACTTTTTACAGTTGAAGTCTGTAGGGTACCACAAGCAAAGATCCTTTCTATGTCACTGTTCTCGGTGTGCTTGTGAAGTCTTCATGTGATGGGGATATTTCTTTACATTCCCTTGGTATGCAGAGTAACCTCTTACACCAATTTCTCTGCTTTATTTTCCTCCCTGTGATGTGATAATGCAGTCAAAGCTTTTTAAAATCTAGTTTGGTAGGACAGTGGAAATGAACTAAAATGATTGGTTAATTAAGAGTTAATTTCCATGATCCCGGTGGTATTACTCTTCTGATTTGCCTTCACTCCTTCCATTTTACCACTCCTGAAAACAACATACTGTTAACCCCATTGTATTGTGGGTTATGAATTAGGTTATTTGGTGTAGTGGGAAAGTGGGGTCAAAATTTACATTGGTGGGAGTACGCCTGGGTGGCTCAGTCAGTTAAATGTCTGCCTTTGGCTCAGGTCATGATCCCAGGGTCCTGGGTTCAAGCCCCACATCGGGCTCCCTGCTTAGCGGGGAGTCTGCTTCTCCCTCTGCCCCCTCCCCCTGCTCATACTTGTGCTCCCTCTGTCTCTCTTTCTCTCTGACAAATAAATAAATAAAATCTTTAAAAAAAAATTTACATTGGTGGGTGTTCAAAAATTTCACTCATTAAAGTGCCAGATAACACAGCTTTCCTGTATATAGATCACTATGGAGTTGGCTGGCAATCTCTTACAATCTAATAATCTGTAGTGAAGCTTCATTCCTCAGACTGTCTACTTAAAGAACCTTTATAATAACATATTTAGTTTTTAATAAAAAGGCATTTATTGTAGTTATAGTTTTTAAATTTATGTCTCAGATACTCATGTCCTTCCCAGTACAATAGCCAAAACCTACAGATTTGGTAATTGATATTAATGTATACCTGCTAACCATTATCACTCCTGTGCTGTCACTGAAGTGCCTGCCCAATACTGTAGACCGTCTCTTCACAAACACTAGGAAAAACGACTGCTGTCATCTTAAATACAGTATTAATGTATAAGGGATAAAATAATGGAGTTTATTTTCTTCATATAGAAAATTGCAAATTGTTTTTTCTCTCGGGTCTACTTTTCTACCAAATGTTCAACGAATTTTACCTTATTACTCATCTGTTCAAATTTAAGGATAGCTCTTTTTCATAAGGAGTTGTCATGCTTCACAGTTCAAGGTGAATCTTGTTAGATCAGTAATATTATAGTGACAATGTGACTGAAATTTACTATGTAGCAAACAGTGATCAAGAAGAAAAAACTTAGGGTCTGTTTGCCTTTGCATAGATAGTTGCTTAACTCATTCTGCTTTTAATAATTATAATTGAATAAAATGCTTATGCACATATTGAAGGGTCATAGTGCAGGGTGCTGCTAGCCCTGGCACAAAGTATTAAAATTATTTCGTGAAGATGGGTGGTTGTAATAAACTGTATATAAGGTTTTTTTTTTTTTTTAAAGTACCAGGGCATATTATTTAGTGAATGCAGCCCACTGCTTCAGGGGATCAGTATAGAATAAATGCTTTCCTGTGGTTACAAGTCCATATGTAATCTGGTTCTCTGCCAAGTGACCTCATTTCTTACTGCTCTTCTGATTCACACTGACCTCACTTTTCCTTGAACACATCAAGCACATACCTGTCTCAGGGCCTTTGCATTTGCTCTTCCTCTGCCTGGAATAGTCTTTTACAAATTTCTGTGACTTACCTCTTCCCCGGATACAGGTTTCTCTTGAAATACCACCTTTTTAAAGGGGTCTTACCTGTTCTTGTTCTTTCCCCTCCATCACTTTCTATTCCCTTATCTTTAGTTTTTTCATACTATCTGACTAGTCTTGTTTGCCATTCCCTTTAATGGTAATGTAAGCTCCATAAGGAAAGGAATTTTATTTTATTCAGCGCAGTATCTCTAGTGAGTGGTGCTTAGTAGGTATTCAAGTTAATAAATGAATTCAGTACTGGGGCTTAGGAAGAAGAGTAAATATTGGAGATGGAAACCATCTCTGGAAAATACTTATACTCTTAAAAATATAGAGTATTTCGGGCGCCTGGGTGGCTCAGATGGTTAAGCGTCTGCCTTCGGCTCAGGTCATGATCCCAGGGTCCTGGGATCGAGTCCCACATCGGGCTCCCTGCTCCTTGGGAGCCTGCTTCTCTCTCTCTCTCTCTCATGAATAAATAAATAAAATCTTTAAAAAAAAAAAAAAATATAGAGTATTTCTACTCTAGATAAAGTAGAAAACAGCAAGGTATCCCACTCTGATTTTGACTATTCTGGTTACTTCCTTGTGGTTTTTCTAGTAGATGTCAGGACTCCTAGGGTTTGTTGGAATCCTAATTGAGAGATCCTCAAATATTTTGTTTCTGGGACTCTTATCAGTTGACTTAAAAGTGATTGCCTACTGGTCTTCTGGTTTCATATCCTAGAGCCTGTCTGTACTGTTATTTATGTATGTGTCCCATAATTTTCTTTCTTTTTTTTTTTTTTCTAAAATACACTATCTGGTATTTATTTCATTTAACTCCTCTTATAATTTTCTAGAATATCCCTAATGATAATTCTTAATTATCTTGAGGGACTCTATCTGAACTTTGGCAGAACTTCTGGGAATCTAGATGCTGTTTTGAAAAAAAAATTTTCCTCACTGGATGTGTCTAAGATTTTTCTTTTTTTTTTTTTTTTCTTTTTTTTATATAGACAGTCCAAGAAGAAGAAAGAGAGATTTACAGACAGCTGCTACAGATGGTCACAGGGAAACAGTTTTCTGTAGCCAAACCCACCACACATTTTCCTTTACACCTGTGAGTCACAGAAACATATTTCAAATGAATTTAATTCTACATTTTATTATTTGATATTGAAACTATATTCTTCTCTTGCTAGGTCTCGATGTCTTAGTTCCAGTAAGAGTACTTTGAAAGACCCACTGTTTAAAAATGGAAACTCTTGTGCAGCTCAGATCATTGGCTCTGATACTTCATCATCTGGATCTGCTAGCATTTTAACTACCCAGGAACAACTGTCCCACAGTGTGTATTCCTTATCGTCTTATGCCCCAGATGTTGTGGCATTTGGATCCAAAGATTCTGATCCTCTCCATCAACCCCAACATCACCACTCTCTTCTACATCAGCCAGATAACTTACCAGCTTCAAATGCACAATCAGAAGGTAAAATTGGTTTTGTATAACTATATTTTCTTTTTTTAAAGATTTTATTTATTTGAGAGAGAGAATGAGAGAGAGAGAGTGCGCATGAGAGGGGGGAAGGTCAGAGGGAGAAGCAGACTCCCCACCGAGCAGGGAGCCTGATGGCGGGACTCGATCCTGGAACTCCAGGATCATGACCTGAGCCGAAGGCAGTCGCTTAACCAACTGAGCCACCCAGGCACCCTGTATAACTATATTTTCAATCCTAATAGCCAGTTAACTGTTTATGGGATCTGTGTGAATCATAGGCAAGGTTGTAATATGCATGTAACTTAATTAACATATAAGAAACTTTAAATACATATAATTCAGTTAGCTATACCACAAATAAACTAAACCTGCAAGTAACTTACTTTTTTCTTACATGGAGATGCAAATGATTTCATATATTTTACTTAAAAGATGAACTTCCTGAGCAGAGTCTAGAGTCAGAGCACAGTCAGCCCAATTACTTCAGTACTTTCTCTGTTTTTAGTACTTTACATTGACCATTAAGTACTCTGAAGTTCTAAGAGTTTTGGAACATCAATTAAGTATTGAAGTAAAAGTTCTTAACCAGGTAATACTTAAAAAACCTGTATAGTAGGTTTATGGTTTTAGAATGGTCATCAGCAAATTTCAGAAACAAAAAGAGGTTTTTTTGTTTGTTTTTTAAAGATTTTATTTATTTCAGAGAGAGAGAGAGTGAGAGAGAGAGAGCACAAGAGGGAGTAGGGTCAGAGGGAGAAGCAGACTCCCTGCTGAGCAGGGAGCCCAATGCAGGGCTTGATCCCAGGACCCTGGGATCATGACCCGAGCTGAAGGCAGACGCTTAACCGACTGAGCCACCCAGGTGCCCCAAAAAGAGTTTTCTACCTAATTTTCAGCTAACCAAAAAAGCCAGACTCTTAGCATTCCAGTTAATGAAGGTTTTCTATAATTTTCTTTGTTTGCTTAGTTTTCCCCTTCTTTAGCTATGTGTTGTGTGTATTTATGATAGTATGTATTTTTGGGTATATAACTTAAGTTTTAGCTTAAGTGGTTAGACATTAGGGATTTTTTTTTTTAAAGATTTTATTTATTTATTTGGGAGAGAATGAGAGAGAGAGAGAGAGCACATGAGACGGGGGAGGGTCAGAGGGAGAAGCAGACTCC